ATCCCCAGTAACTGCCGCCGCCCCCCCAAAAAAAAGTCCAGGAGAGATCTGGCACAGACCTTCCCTGGGTTCTCAGAAGGAGCCGCGCCTGCTGACAGCTTGGTCTCAGACTTCAGCCTCCAGAGCTGTGCATAAGATGTTTCTGTTGACGCCACCCAGATGTAGTGCTTTGTTTCGGCAGCCCTAGTGTACTAACACTAGTGACTCCATCTTGGAGTTTCTCCACTAGTAATGCTAGTGACGAGGGGACAGCAGCACCTGCCTTGCATGGTTGTTTGAGACTGATAAGAGGAAGCGCATGTGGCGCTGAGCACAGCCCTTGGAGGATCGTGAGTGGAGAGGCTATTAGTCCTGCATTGCCCGCCCAGCCCCACTAGCAGAGCCTCTGGGAGGAAAGCAGCCAGGATGGGCGAGAAGACCTCAGTGCAGACTGAAGAGAACTGGGTCACTCAAGGCACCCCTTCAAAAGCCTCTCCAGTACAGAGAAGGCCAGAAATCACCATTAATGCAGTGCTTGATGCTTTCTAGCCAGAGAGTGGTCTTAGGCCTAATTGACAAGGCCGTGAAGCTGAGGTTTCTTGGTTTTCATATGCTGGTTACACTTGCAGTATGTCAAGCCCCTATGGGTGATCAATAAGTGCAGTCGTCTTGGCCATTTATGAGCATTTTGTAAAGAAGGCATGGCATGGTTTCAAGGGAAGGATACTCACTAATGACCCTGAGCAAATCCATTTCCCTCCTTGAACCTCAGTTTCCATATCTGCAGAGTAAAGATCAGCCAGGCCAGAGGTTCTTAAGCCGCATCTGTGAAGGCCTGAAAGTTGTATATAAATTTTGTGTGTGCACATGCATCTTGGGAGAGTGTGCCTGGAGCTTTAACTGGTTCTTGGAGGGTCACTACCTCCCAAATTGCCCACCATGACCCCCAACCTCTACCCCGTCACCTCTCCGAGCTGCTGCCACCTGGCTGGTCTGATTCTATGACTCTGCTTCTAAGGTTATTTGCAGGAAACAGATTTACAAAGGTAGCCACTCTGAGTAACTGGGGTGAGGGATGAACCAGGAGCATAGTGAAAGAGCTCCCCAGAGAGCTTATCATGGGGGGACTTTTTTTGGCCAGGGAGGCCCCCTCTTGCCCGGCACCCTTGTATCTCTGCTTTTGGCCCTCCCTTGTGTCCCACGGGCCCTAGGTGATGACCAGCCCCTGCCTAACCTGTCTTGGATGGCTCCAATGGCCTCAGCTATTTCCTGCCTCTGGGCTACCCCACCCCATCTCACTTGGAGTAGTACCCAATCCTGCCAGGTGTGATGGTGCATGCCTGTGACCCCAGCAAGGCTGAGGCAGGAGGATAGTTAGTTCAAAGCCAGCCTCAGCAACTTAGCTAGGCCCTAAGCAACTCAGCAAGACCCTGTCTCAAAATAAAACATAAAAAGTGCTGGGGATGTGGCTCAGTGGCTAAGCGGTCCTGGAGTCAATCCCCAGTACCCAAACAAACAAATGAAAAAACAAATCCCTTACAATCCCTCCCTGATCCCATCCCCACCTGCCTTTCCCCTCACTGATGCCTCTAGCTTAGTCCCTACTGTCTTTGCCCCTGCAGGTTCCTCTCCCCAGAACGCTGCTCCCCATCTTGCATGAAATATTGATGAGATCCCCTACCCCCACTAAGATGGCATCAAACAAAGGAAGGGACCGAGTCTGTATATTGCAGTGCCTTTGCTCATCATCCCCCTGGATAAATGCTTAAAATTAAAACAACTGACAATACCAGGTCTTGGTGAGGGTATGGAACAGCTGGGCTCTCCTACAGCCGATGGCAGTGTTCAGTGCTACAACATTTTGGAGAACAGTTTGTCATTTTTACAAAGTTATACATAAACTTACCAAATAACTCAGCAATTCCACTCCTGGATATTTACCCAAGAGAAACAAAGACATATGTCCACACAAAGACTTACACACAAATATTGAAGACTTAACTCATAAAGACCGAAAATTAGAAACAAATCAAATGTCTGCCTAGAACAGGCAAAAGCTGCTACATCCTTTCAGTCTGATTGGGTGTGAAGGAGACAGAGCTTCCAGGAGGAAAGGAGAGGATCTGCCTAAGTCTCCTGGGGTGGGGGCAGCTGTTGAGTGATGGTGCTTTATAACTGAAGTGGTTGACAGACGGGAGCTTGCAGGGGACTGGGGTTGCCTTGGGGACCCACAGGGTAAGGCAGCTCCAATTCCCTCTCGTCTTCAGGTTCCCAACCAGGTTCAGAAGTGTTCATCTATTCCTCTGGGAGTTGCAATTTGTAAGGCAGTTCCCCCTTCTCCTCAGGGGATACATTCCTGAAACCATAGATAGTACCAAGTCCTTTATGGACTCTGGTTTTTCCCCAATGCGTACATACACATATTTAATGCCTTTTCCATCTTAACTAAGCATTTCTGAGCACAGTGATCATAATTTTTGCAGTTTGAGGTACAACTGCAAAACTAGTATGAATTTCTTTTCCTTCCTCACAGATTCATACATAGAAGATTCATTCTTATTGTAGATCTTAGCAACCACAGCATAGGGTTTTTTGTTTTTGTTTTTTTTCCCCCTTTCCTCATTAAGTGGATAACTTCCACCTTTTCACCTAGAGGAAATACTTCATGGCTTCTCTTTGGTGTATCTGAGTTGCCAGTGTCACTACTCTTGCACTTTGGGACCATTAGTCAGTAAAATAAGTTACTTGGATTTGAATGCAAGCACTGCAATACTGTGATAGTGTATCTGATAATTAGGATGGCTACTAAGTGACTAAGGGGTGGGTAGTTATACGGCATGGATACACTGGACAAAGGAATGACTCATGTCCTGGTGGGACAGAGCAGAACTACTCAAGATTTCATCATACTACTCAGAATGCGCCCCCCCCCCCATGTAAAACTTAGTGAGTTGCTTATTTCTGGAAGTTTCTTTTAAATATTTTCAGACTACAGTGGATCAACAGGCAACTGAAAACACAGATAAGGGAGTACAACTGTAATTGCATTTTATTTAAGTGATTATTTGTTAATATCATCCTCCTGTCCCCCCAACATATGAGATCCAAGAGGACAGTGGTGTCTCTTTCACCCCTGGCTGCAGCTGCTGGCACAGGACCCAGCTCACAGTAACTCAGAACTTAATATTTAGGACTGCTGAATGTGTGTGGATTGGAGAAAGAAGGGGCAGGTGGAGCGCAGGGGTGGGGTATGGCCTTGTAGAGAGACTTGCTGGGCGCAGTGCTGCCTGGCTTGAAAGCCAGAGATGGGCCACTTGTGAGGATGTGGCTGTGATGTTGCCCGTACAGGCAGGACTCTTGCAAAATGCCAATTAAGACATTTGACCCAAATTTGGATAAAAGCCTTTTTCCTGTGTCAAGTTGAGCTAATAATATACATTTATTCATAATTGATGAAGTCTTGTAAGTGGGAACAATTAAGGAAAAGGCCTGAGCAAAACCTGTTTCTCTTAAGTGTCACCCATTTGCCTTTTTTTTTTCTTTTTTTGCTGCGGCAGGTCCCACCCTCTCTGCCTGCCGTGAAACACCTTTTTTATCATCGTGGTTGTCGTCACCATTATTTGGTGTCATTACTGTTAGCTGACTTACTGAGCACCTACTGGAGCAGACTGTAAGTTGCTCTTGGCTCCATAAGGCAGGTACTGCTGTTTCTGTCCCCATTCTACAGATGAGGCAGTTGGGTTTCAGAGGGATGAAGGGATCTGCCAGAGTCTCATGGCTGAGGAGGGGGAAATCTCGACTCAGATCTGCCGGCCCGGGCAGCCCTCCTTGTCCCTGTGGTGTCCCACTGCTGTGTCAGCCTCCCAGCAAGGCTGCTCTGAGTCTGCAGCCCTTCTGTGGGTGACAGTTAAACTTGGGAAATGGAGGGAGAAAGTGATTGCCCCTGATTCAGTAGTGCTGGTCCTCACCTGAGAATTTGCATTATTTCTGACATAACAAGTTCCCAGATGATGCTGATATAACGGGTCCTGGGACCACCTGCTGTTACAGAGTCCCACTGACCCCCTTCTCCCCACCCCCCACTGCCAGGCAGGTGTGTTTGGATATTTATTATGCAGCATAGAGCAATCTGTAGCTTGATTGTTGTTTCGTTCTGTTTATATATGTGGGATTATATTCCTGTGGATATTCTACAACTTAGTCTTTTATTTGATTTATCTCGGAGATGATCCATAGATCTGCCTTATTCTCTACAGTGTTTCAGGATACAGGGGTGCTATGGTTTTATTTGCCTCTTGCCTTCTGAAATGGGTGGCCTTGTGTGTTTTAGATATCACAGATAACCCTCTAAAATCCCTGAGAACATGAGTGTTTCTCCAGAATCTGGTCATCATTCAATAATGTCAGCTATTATTGCTGCTATATTTTGTTTCCTCATTAATATTGAGGATTGTTAGCTTTAAGAAGTTTTCTTGCAGGGGCTGGGGTTGTGGCTCAAGCGGTAGCGCGCTCGCCTGACATGCGCGGGGCGCTGGGTTCGATCTTCAGCACCACATAAAATAAAATAAAGATGTTGTGTCCACCAAAAACTGAAAAATAAATATTAAAAAATTCTCTCTTTCTCTCTCTTCTCTCTCTCTCTTAAAAAAAAAAGAAGAAGAAGTTTTCTTGAAGGTGGGGGCAGCTGTATAAAGGAGTAACTCTGTTTACAGGCTCTAGTCAAGTTTTCAACAAAACAGTTTCAATAAAAGGAAAGAGGTGCCGTGTGGGCAGGGCTTGAGGGATGTGTAGGAGTGCAGAGGAGGAGGAGCGAGAGCCCCAGGGAGGTTGTACCCCCAGGCTTGGCTTAGCTACTGGTCGATTTGATGATTGGGGGGGGGTGGATCTTAATAGTTTTGGGTCATTTGGCAAAATCTGGCCATGGCCAAGGGTCCGGGTTGGCAGCATCCTGTGTAGGAGGGCCCTGCATGGGTCAAGCTGTGCTCAGCTCTGATCTGTCTTTTTCCTTCCTGTCTCCGCAGGGTGGGGGTTCTGGGGAGGAGCAACTCTGCGCTGACTTTCCTGAGCTCGACCTCTCCCAGCTGGACGCCAGCGACTTTGACTCTGCCACCTGCTTTGGAGAGCTGCAGTGGTGCCCGGAGACCTCTGAGACTGAGCCCAGCCAGTACAGCCCCGACGACTCCGAGCTCTTCCAGGTAGGCCCTCCCAGCCTCACCAGCCCACCACAGTGCCAGCACTCCTGTGTGCCCCCAAGGTCCTTGGCCCTGCTGCATTACCTTCTATACCCTCTCATGCCAAGAGTCTCCTGCCCACCCAGTCTCTTGAGACCTTGTTTCCTCTGGATCTGCACCTGACTTGGGCCAGTTCTCACCCACTTATCTGGCCTGTGTTGTCACTTCCATAAAGTAAGGGCTAGAGCCGGGCACCGAGGTGCTCGTCTGTAATCCCAATGGCTTACATTGGGAGGATGAGGCAGGAATATCATGAGTTCAAAGCCAGCCTCAGCAACTTAGTGAGTCCCAGAGCAACTTAGCAAGACCCTATCTCTAAATAAAAAATGTAAAAAGGCCTGGGGATGTGGCTCAGGGGTTAAGCCCCCCTGGGTTCAATCCCTGGTACAAAAAAAGAAAGTCACGGTTGGGGTAACCTGTCCCTCTATACCTCCCAGAGTCATACCCTCTGGGGCTGGGGGCTCCAAAGTCTGTTTCCTACATTGTCTCATTGAACCCCCATGAAGCAGCGCCATTATTTTCCAGATAGGGAAACTGAGGCTTGGAGAGTTAAGTCAGTAGCTGAACTTGACTCAAACCCAGTCTGCCTTCTGAGCCAGGACATTCTGAGAAGGACTCACATTTCTTGAGCACCTGTTCTGTGGTAGGACTGCCCTGTGTATATATTAACTCATTTAATTCTCCTGACAACTCTCAATTGTAAATACAGCTGTCCCCATCTTCCAGGTGGGGCCTACAGTGGCACTGGCACTGCGTACGCTTAACAAAAGGCAGTGCCAAGAACCACTGTGCATAGACCTCTCAACCCTGCGTGCCCTGGGGGCTCACGGTGGTTGATCTCTTAGGTGGAAGAATATGTGGCCTGGGACAAAGCAAGCTCTGTGTGCGTGGGTGTGGGGGTGAGGCATGGAGGGCAGGGGATGAAATAGGTTGGGCCACGCAACTCCCTGTGTGTCAGGCACCGTGTCCATCAGTGGACTTCACGGGCTGGCAGGAGACATTTCCCCAGACCAGGAAACAGCTGCAGTCACTTGTGACAGGGAACTAGAGGAAATGAGCCCAGGAATAGAAAAGGTTCTGCAGGCTGGTGGTCAGGAAAGGCCTCCCAAGGAAGAGAAGGAGGCAGCCACGAGAAGGTCAAAGGGCAGGAGAGGTAGGCAGGGCCTGACCATGCAATCTTGTGCACCAGGCCAAGAGTCTAGATTTTCCCTGTTCTAGCTGTAAGTTTTTACAGGTGAGAAAAGTGAAGTTCAATGACGTGAAGGAACTTGCCCAAAGTCACACAGTAGGAAGGGTCAGGGAAAAGGCTAAAATCAAGGAGCCCATACCATCACTGCTACACTGAACCCCTTTGCCACGCCCGTGAGGAGTCAGCAGGATTGGGCCGAGGTCCTGGCTCCATCCGGGGCCTCTGTTTTCTTCTCTGAATACCAAGGATGCGGCCCTCCCTGTGTGGCTCCTTCCCTCTTTAGGAGGCCAACTTCTGAAAATGCTTTCGAGTTGCGCGGAGCTGATGTGCAGAGCGTGTTGACTGCTTCCTGAGACAGTCCTCACCTAGACAGCACTGGCCCCCCTACTCCTTCTGGCCAGACTCCCCCCGCCCCCAGCAGGTCTCTGCTGTAGTCCTGTATTGCATGGAATGGCTTCAGACCCAAGTAAGCCCCACATAGCCCCTGGGCCCCAGCTCAGTGAGGAAGATGGTCCTCCCAGCTGGAAGAGCTCTGCCCAAGGCCGGCTCTGTCCATTTCTCACCTGTGCACCTGCTGTGCATTTGATTGTGTGCATAGGGCCCGCCCTCACCCCCACGCAGCCGTCATACTCTGTGGGTCTGTGTCCATACTGTGGGTCATGTCCTGGGCCTTGCACGCTGTCAGGGCCTACTACGTGGTCATCCAGTGAACACACCCTTCGACTCCTGGCTCTAGAGTTGCCTCCTCCTGAAGCAGCTGGGCAGTGGCTTCCTCTGTGGGTGACCAGCCAGTACACATGTGTCTTCAGACCGTGGGACAATGTGATCTTCATCTGGGGCCCTCACACACTGACTCGATTGCAGCGTTTTCTTTCCTGCCACAGGTCAGACACAACCAGTATCAAAACCTTGAATGGGCTGGGGCTGGCGCTCAGCCATAGAGCACTTGCCTAGGTTCGATTCTCAGTACCACATGTAAATAGATAAAATAAAGGTCTATCAACAACTAAATATATATATTTATTTATTTTAAACCAAACCAAACCAAACAAAAAGCCTTGGGCTGGGATCCGGGGGCCCCCTGAGACGAGTGGGAATCACCGCGCCTGGCTGCCTGCGTCCGAGCTGTGTTCTAACAATTGAGTGGCACTATTGCTATGGAAACAGTCTGGGAGGGTGAAGAACAAGCTACAGTTATAAAGATTGACAACTTTTGGGGGCAGGGACATTGTGTTCCATTTCTCTGTGTGCCTCGGGGTTCTTAGGGCTGGAGCACAAGGGCACTTGGTAACTGTTTCTAGATGAAGCAGGTGTTGGACCATTCTGTGCTGTGTGACCTTGGTCAGGTAGCGCCCTTTGGTGGGCCTCTGTTTTCCCATGTGTGCGTGAAGAGGGAACATGGACTGGATCAGTAGCTTTTAATCTGTTGGGGACAAAGGAGAGTCCCTGAGTTCTTTTAGACTCTGATGAGATCATGGACCTTCCCCCAGAAAAATGGGGGAGAGGTAATTCTGAGTTTCTTGGCCTCAGTGAAAGGCCCTGGATAGTGGAGGATCTCCAAGTGTTCTTTTAGCCCTGACAGCCCAAAGGCTGTTCTGAGCCATTCCTTCAAGCCACTCTCGTTCCCCAGTGAAGCATTTCCCTCACATGTCTCGAAGGCTCCTTTTCCTCCAGCTTGAGATCAGCTCAGGAAGGCTGGGGGTGGGGCTGGGTCTATTAATATCCTCCCTCAGCTGATTAACTCTCCATTAATTTGCACTCGGCTTCTAAGCGGAGCAGGGGGAGCTGAGCTAATGGGCCCAGGGAAAAAAGAAGAGGGTGGCCAGCTCCCTGGGATGTGTTATCTTAGGGTGCCTATGGGATGGCCTATTCTGGAGGGAGCTGGGCCGGCCTGGGCAGGTGTGGCCTTTCTTCCCAGCTGACTCTGCACCTCTAGCCCCACCGGCCTGTTCCCAAGCTGAGCAGTCTTGGGGACTGGGCTTTCATTAGTCATTTTTATTTTCACCTAACCTGGTTGGTGCTTCTTGAGGTCTCTGCCATTTCCTACTCATTTCTGCCCTGGGCCTGGCGCTTGGAAAACCATTGTTAGCGCTCTAAGTTCCAGGTTCTCATCCTTGACTCCATCCCTGACTTGCTTAATGACCTTGACAGATCTGTTTCCTGGGGTCTCAGGCCCCTCCAGCCCAAAGAGTAGCAGCTAGATTTTCTCAGGAGCACCGACCACGATTGATTAGTAGTTGTAGCCTGGAGCCCTGTGTCAAGAGAGAGAAACTGGCATGGAAGCCACCAGCACCACGGTCACCTAGTGGTATGGTGCCACGTGTTTGACATGCCTGGTCACTACATCACCCTGAGCCCTTTCAGCTCTGATATGTGTGATAATCCACAATAATTCTGGGCCATTTACTGCAGTTCCTGGGAAAGAGTGGGAATTCTCATCCCATCCAGCACCGGTGATGTCATTTCTGGATGGCTTCCCTCTAGACGCTGGCCTCTGAGACACGGAAGAACCCAGTCTCCCGCCATTGTTCATTGTTCGGTTCATTCATTCCTTCATTCAACAACCCGGCTGTTCCCTAACGGCTGCTAGGGCACAGAGCTAGGTGCTGTTGTCACCACTCCAGGCGTGGCCTGCCTGGAGCCCTGCAGGGGACACCAGAAGGGGCCATATCTTGCCATTCTGTGGGAAAGGGAATGAGATTTAGACGAGGGGAACAATCTGATCAGGGTTACCCTGTCAGTGGCAGAGCCCTGTGTGACCAGCTCCAAACATGGCCACTGGGCCCGAGTTCCCAGATCTTAACTCACCATCAGGTGGGACAAATTGTTCTGGGAACCCAACACTGGGCGTCTGGCCTGAGTGCCCGGGAGGCTGGCAGGTAGGGCATGGGGGCAGCCAGGTGAGCCTTCATTACATGCCAGAGCCACAGTCTCTGGGCCCCTAGCCCCAGGGCTGAGCCGGGCTGGCCACATCAAGTTCTTCTTTTGACCCTTCTTTTATTCTTAGCTCTGTTCTAAAAATTACAAATGCGTTTGTTCTCCTCTCCCCATGTCCCCCCTTCCAGTTACTCAGCTGCTGCTCCGGCTGCAAGGCTTGGAACAGATTTAGTGCAGCCAAAAGGCCGTCACGAGATGTGTATTTCAGATGAACTTCCTGAGGAAGGGATAAACAGCCTGACCCGGGGTGGGAACGCGTGCTGCGGGAGGCATCATGTGACAGCATGTGCTTCTGCCAGGACAGGCTTGGGAAGCAGGGGTTCCCGACTGAGGCCCCCATGGCTTACCTGGAAGCAATGTGATCTCTGCTCCCACCTCTGGCCCAGGGCTGGGCTGTGCATGCTCACCCTCAGAGATCAGAGCACCTGTGTGTGGGGCCCTTGGTCCAGGACCTGGCTCTGCCCCACATTTGCTGGGTTGCCCTTGACAGGTTTCTGAAATGCCGGGAGCCAGTTTCCTCACCTGGAAAATGAAGATTAGAAAGTGCTGCCCTCGTTGGAGGTGTAGGATGATTGAGGTGGCACTGACAAAGCCTTTCCCTCCGTCCCTCAGTCAGGCCTCTGCACTGGCTTTCCCCTCTGCCCAGGTCTTCTTTCCTAAGCTCTTTGCCTGTCTTTTGAGCCTAAGTTTGTCAGCTGTACAGAGAGGGCTCCTGTGGCCCGCCTAAATAGCCCTCAGCCTCGGCCACATTCTTTCTTTCCATTACAGCGTCCTTTTATTTTCCTAATGGCTTTTCCCACATTCTGAAATGGTCTTGATTCTTTCCTTGTTTTCCTCTACTCTCCTTTGGAGGGTAAGCGCAGGGAGGGTAGGGGCTGTATTACCAGTGTACCAGTGTCCAGCACAAAGCTGGGTGCAGAGTAGGCATGTGGTAGGGGAGGGAAGGTGGGGGAATCGTCACCACCCCGCCCCCCACCTCGTTGTCATGAGCATAGACATGGGAGCATGGCGGTATAGTCATCATGGCGCAGAAGCCATAGAGAGTGCTTGTTTTGTGCCAGGAACTGCTTTGGAAGCATCTTACCTATATTAACTTATCTAGTCCCCAACAAGAAGCTCTTGGAGTAGGAACTGTTCCCCGTTTGACAGGGGAGGAAACTGACTTGCCCAGGGGCCCACTGTTGTTAAGTGTGGACCCTGGGATTCACCCGGAGCTCCTGACCACCATACCCACCCCTTCACCCAGCATGAGCAAGGACAGCAAGCCCTGGGGTCCCCCAGGGAAAGAAATGGTAGCTGGTTTCTTGTTGTTCTGCTTATCATTGTCACTGTTGAGCTCTGAACTTCACCCTGCCTGGGCCCCAGGGTCCTGGTGGCTAGGGCCTGCACTGAGCTCCTGCTCTTCATGTTTAGAGCAGCCTCACTCAGGTGGACAGACTTCTGCCCCACGTCTTCCACTCCAGAGCAGATCCCTTTCCATTCCCACCTACTGCCTGCTGACAAAATTCTGTGATCCTTGGAGTCGGCGACTCGGAGGGGAGGGTTGGCAGGAGGAGGGTGGTGGTCCAGCAGGGTGAGCAGCTATGTCCCAGGTGACTGACCCTCTCTACCACTTCCTTCCAGATCGACAGTGAGAATGAGGCCCTCCTGGCCGCGCTCACCAAGACCCTGGATGACATCCCTGAAGATGACGTGGGGCTGGCTGCCTTCCCGGTCCTGGATGGAGGAGATGCACCATGCTGCCCCGCAGCTTCACCCGCCCCCTTGTCTGCGCCCCCCAGCCCCGCTAGGGAGAGGCCCCCAGCCCCAGCCTCAGACGTGGATGAGCTCTCGCTGGTGAGAACCTATTTCCAGTGAGACAGTGGTGGAGGCTGCCATTTGGATCTGTCTGTAGGGGTGGGAGTGCAAAGCATCAGTCCAGCCCAACCTGAGTGCCTGTGCATCACGGTGATGTGGTTTCCAGAGGAGGGCCTGGACTGGAGGTGGGAGGCCTCTCTGGGTCTCACCTTTCCCTCCTGTGCAGTGGGACTACGCTTCATCTACATTCTGTAGGCTCCTTGGGATTTCAAAGACTGACCTTAGTCCTATGTTAAATCCTTGAAATTGCATGCAAACATTTTCCTAAAGATTATGTACACATGGTAAACATCCAGGCAGGAAGTGTGGACAGTTAAAAGCAAAACCTCCTCAGCCCTCTCACAATTGCTTTGTCCTTCCCCAGAGGTAACCATGGTTACCGATCTGTTATGTGACTTTCCTCTTCACCTAATTTTTTTTTTCTTTTTACTACAAAAGGAAGCCTGCTCCTCCACCATTCTGCACCTTACTTTCTCACTTAAAATGTGTCTTGGGAACTCTTCCAAATGAACGTATGGAGCTGTGCTGTCCCTCTTGTGGCTGTATAGTGTTCCTGGTTGAGGATGTGTCACATCTGTTTAACCATGTCCCTGCAGATGGATATTTATATTCCTTTAACTCCACCATTGTCCCCAATAGTGCTGCCGTCATATGTAGGCCTTTGCCCCGGGTAAATGGATAAATTCCTAGAAACAGATCCCCTAGGTCCGTGGAGATAGGATTTTTCAGTTTAGACAGATCTTTCCAGATTACCCGTCAAAGAGATCATGCCAACTTACACTCCCACCAGCACATTAAATGCCTTCTGTGAGAGTGTCTGAGGAGTGTCGGAATGTGTGCTTGGAAGAGCAGCTTCCTGGGGAGAAGATGTCAGCTTTGATCAGATTTTCAAAGGGTCTGGACCTCGTGGGTTACTGCTGGGGCTGCCCTCCACTCAGGCTGAGTCGTGCTGCCTGTCTTGGGCTCTTCCCTCACGTTGGATCTGTGGCTCCTGGGGGCCAATGAGGCACAGCCGGAAAACCAGAACCTATCAGGGCTGGGAGGGTTCTTAGGTCTCAGGGAGTTGGAGCTGGAAAGGTCCTTGGTGACCACCAAGCCCAACTCTGAGGCTGACTTCACCCAAGGTCAAACAGAAAGTTGGTGCACCAGCGAAGACTAGAACCCAGGTCTTCTGAATCTTGGTTGAAGGTACTCTGTCTTCTCTCTTTGGGGTCTTTAAGGTCCTCAAAGCAGTGGGAAATATTTAGTAAGTACCTACTATGTGCTGACACAGAATATTTCCAATCTCACATCATGGCTTCTGCTAATGGGACCCTGCTTCCTTCCAGAATGGAGTTAAACTGCCTGAGTGTGAATCCCATCCCTGCCAATCAGTGCTTGTGGTTCCCTGAGGCACACAGCCTCCCTAAGCCTCTCTGACTCAGTTTCCTGACCCATGCGGGTTGGATAATAGTTCCATCTCAAAGGCTATTAGGAGACTATACAGCAGGTGTTACATATGCTTGCTCAGTAGACATTAGCTAATTCATAGTCCTGGCACAACCCTTGGAAGTAACAAGAATCCTCAGTGCCGATTCTTAAAGAGGCAAAGAGCGACCCCTGCTGGTCAAAGGTGGTTTCCAGGCCAAGTCTCCATCTGCCTTCACCCCACACTCTGAGCACTTCTGTTAGAGACGCTTCTAGGCTCACGCTTCTAGGAACCAGACACACTGTCTAGGCTCTCAGTATACTGCCAGTTCTAGAAAGGCCCAATGAAGTCATCCAGACCCTAGGTCTTGTCCTGGATTCCAGAATATCCACCCATGGACTTCGAAGGATCCATGGACCTCTGCATGTCTCTGTGTTTTCTGAGGTCAGCAGTTTCTGTTATATTCTGAGAGTCAAAAAGAAGGTTCTGGTCCATTCATTTTGCCTCCCTGTCCTTGTTATGCCAAGGGTATTTTCCAATCCAAAATCAGAGAGTCACAGGCCTGTGTGTGGTTTGGGGTATAGCAAGATCATGGGCTCCTCAGGAGGCCCAGCCTTTAGTGTTCGCTGGGTGCTTTGGGGGCATGTCCCCCAGGATGTAAAATTCCATCACATTTCTTGCCTAGTTCTCGGCTCTGATGGATCCTGGGCAGAACCTGCAGATGTGCTCAGCCTCTGTTCTCTCAGCTTGGATGCATTGTGCGCCTGCCCACGGGGCTCAGAAGCAGGGGAGTTCAACAATCTTTGTAGAAAAAAAAAAAACCTGGAACAAAAGTCTAACGAGCTAACTGTAACACTATTCCACCTGTGTAAAAATATCTGAGTGGGTTGGATGTGACATATCCATGTGTATTCTTGTATGATCAGTGTCACCACCTCTGGGATAGGGTCACAAGAAAGTAGTTAGTGGCACTTGCCTCCGAGAAGGAGAAAGGGACCTTGGGCAGGAGGAAGACTCTCTGTGTGTATGCATGTGTATGTAGAACCCTGAAGTGCTCTACCACTGAGCCACATCTTCAGTTGTTTTTATTTTTATTTATTTTTGTTTGTTTGTTTGTTTTGAGGCAGGATCTCATTAATTTGCTGAGGCTGGCTTCCAAATTTTTGATCCTCCTGCCTCAGCCTCCTGAGTCACTGGGATTTCAGGCATGAGCCACTGCACCCTGCTAGGAGGAAGCCTTTCTTTTAATTTTCCATTTTAGTGTTTGTGGTATGTGTGTGTGATATTTATAAGTATTACTTACATAATCAAAGAAATTAAATTTTTAAAGGTAGTGTGAATGAACAAAAGGGAAATCAGCTGGAATCTCACATCAGAGAATCATTTTGGTACCTAATCTCCCAGATTTTGTGTGTGTGTGTGTGTGTGTGTGCACTCGCGTGCATGTATGTGTCTAGTGCAAGTGTATGCAGATTGCCTGGTACTGTTTTAACAGCAGGATGGGTAGGCATTGCCCATGATGTGTTTGGGTTTCTCAAAATCATTGCTAAGCTCTTGGGTTGATGATTCTGAAAGGACTTACAAGATAGTGGGACATTTGTGTGTGTTTAGGATCACTAGCCAATCAACTTCCTGTACTTACTGTATTGGGAGCATCATTCTAGACTGTCACATGCTCTCCCCATAGTCTGGTGGTGCTGGATCAGGGCGTGGTCAGCCTTGGGGCTGGCTGTCTGGTCCTCTGTATCTCTGGCCATGGCCGGGCCCCAGCATCTCTCCCTTTGCTTCTCCCCCAGTTGCAGAAGCTTCTCCTGGCTACATCTTCCCCGACATCAAGCTCTGACATCCAGAAGGAGGGGACCACCTGGCGCCAGGCCAGCCTCAGGTCTAGAAGTCAGCGGTCTTGTGTCAAGGTATTTCTGCACCTGCCCAGAAGTCTACCTGAGACCCCAGGTGGCCTCTTAGGGCACCACCGTCACCCCTGGCTAGGGATGGCAGGTTTGGTCCCCAGCAGCCTCTCTTGCTGCTGCTCACATAGACCTTGCAGAGTGCGCTCCTGGAAGGAGGGCTTGGCCTTTGACATGCCTCTGTGCGTCAGGCACTGATAGACATTAACACAGGTTAGAGCTGACCGAGGAAGGTGCGGCCAGCGTGGGGCTCAAGTTCTAACAGAGTGACAGACCAAAGTAGGATCATCCTCAGAGGTGAAGGCCACAGTCAACAGAGCACTAGGATTTCTTTCCTGGGAAGCCATTGGAGAGTTTGGTGCTCTGAACTCCAAGGGCTAAAGCATGTCCCCTTTCTTTCTTGGTCTTCATTGTCCAAGCCTAAGGAGGAGGGGTTTCTGCTCCTCAAAGCCACATTCAGTCTTTTGCCTCCTGCCCCTGCACACTCCTCCAGGGGACAGCTGCACATGGTTCTGCACTCTAGAAGCAGAATCAGGTGCCTGCCTGACAGGGGTGCAGTGTGGGAGCCTCTCCCCTTGCTGGGGTCCCGAGGGGGCAGGCCCCTGTCCCTACACTACCTCCCAAAGGCCTACCCTCTTGTGTGTTTCATTTTTCAAGGGGCAGCAACCAAGCCCCTCCATGAGCCAGTGCTGCCCTTTGCAGGGCTGGGAGGCCCAGCAGAAAGAGAGACAGCTGGCAGCCTTTGTTAGAAAGCCCCAGCAAAACCACATTTGGGCCTGGGAGGGAAGTGGACGGCGAGGGGGGCAGAGAAGGCTCAAGTGACATCAGCTGGTGCTAGATTACAGAGGACCTCAGATACCTGCCCAAGGAGCCTCCCCTTATCCTTTGGGCTCTGGGAAGCTGCTAAATTGTTTTCTTTTTATAACAACTTTATTCGAGTGCCATTTGTACGTCATGAAAGCCCCCTGTTTGTTGTTTTTGAGTGGGAATCACACTGGGTTGCCCAGGCTGGGCTCAAGTGATCATCCCGCCTCAGCCCCCAGAGTGTTGGAAAGCCACCTATTTAAAAAGAACGATTCTATGATTTTTAGTAATTCTGTAGGCTTGGGCAGTCATGACCATGGTCCAGTTTTAGAACATACCCATCATCCCAGAATGCTTCCCGACATCCCTGTTTATTGCGAATCCTTCCCACAGCCCACCCCAGGCGGCCACCAATCCACTTCCTGGCCCTATTGCTGATGGGTGTGGGGTGGGGATGTGGGATGCTCACAGCAGGCCTCTGGTACATCTGGCAGGGTCTGCAAGGGCCAAATTCCATGGCTGGGAGACATGTTAGGGGCTGGGTATTCTTTCATTCTTTACCAACCAAATATGGCTGGGTGCCAGGCTCTGGGCTGAAGGCAGGGAATGGAGGGAAGGAAACCTAGCTATTTCCATGATGCAGCGCAACACACTGGGCCAGCTCTGGCCGTGGGGATGGGGCAGAGGGAGTAGTGTGTCCCTCCCTCCTCACTCTGGCCTCTTTCTCATTCTAGACGGACAGCACCCAGGATAAGAAGGCCCCCATGCAGCGGTCTCCCAACAGGAGTTGTGCAGAACTGCATAAGCACCTCACCTCGGTACCGTCCTGCTCCCAGGCAAAAGCCTCCTCCCCCGACAGGGGACTGCAGCCAGCACTGCCCCCGAGTCCCCAGCTCCTTGCCAAGAAAGAGGAGGAGCCAGGGGAGGACTGCCTGAGTCCCCAGCCAGCTCCAGCCTCTCCCCGGGACTCCCTGCCACCAGGCAGGGCGAGCCCCAGTGCCCAGGTTCCCCAGGAGGACGTGCAGGCCATGGTGCAGCTCATTCGATACATGCACACCTACTGCCTCCCCCAGAGGAAGCTGCCCCCACAGGCCCCAGAGCCACCCCCCCAGCCATGCAGCAGCCCCTCCAGGGTCAGGCCCCGGCACCACTCCAAAGCCTCCTGGGCTGAGTTCTCCATCCTGCGGGAACTCTTGGCTCAAGATGTCCTCTGCGATGTCAGCAAACCCTACCGCCTGGCCACGCCTGTCTATGCCTCCCTCACTCCCCGGCCAAGGTCCAGACCCCCCAAGGACAACCAGGCCTCCCCCGCTCACCCTTCCCCAGTGGAGGAGGTGAGGGTGGCGGCTTCCCCCAAGAACACTGGGCCCAGGCCAAGCCTGCGCCCGCTGCGCCTGGAGGTGAAGGGGGACGTTAGCCGCTCTACCCGGCTACAGCAGGAGGAGGAAGAGGAGGAGGAAGAAGAGGAGGAGGAAGAAGAAGAAAAAGAAGAGGAGGAGGAGGAGGAAGAGGAGGAGGAGGAGTGGGGCAGGAAGAGGCCGGGCCGAGGCCTGCCGTGGGCCAGGCTGGGGAAGAAGCTGGAGAGCTCTGTGTGCCCAGTGCGCCGCTCCCGGAGACTGAACCCCGAGCTGGGCCCCTGGCTGACATTCACTGATGAGTTGCTGGTCTCCTCAGAGCCCCAAGGTGCTCTGCCTTCGCTATGCCTGGCTCCCAAGGCCTATGACATGGCAGGAGAGCTGGGCAGCCCCACAGACGAGGACAATGGCCAAGACCAGCAGCTCTTACGAGGACCCCAGATCTCTGCCCTGGAGAGCCCCTGTGAGAGTGGGTGTGGGGACACGGATGAGGACCCCAGCTGCCCGCGCCTCCCTTCCAGAGGTGGTAAGCGTCAGTGGTCTACGAGAGAGGGGCAGGGTGGGTGTGCCCTGGAGCCCCCATGCTCAAGTCCCCAACCCCATGTGGCAGGTCCCTTTCCCTCTCTGGATTTCTTCCCACTTTCCTGTCTATACACTGGGCTTTTGGGGCAGACTTTCAGGAAGACACCAGTATACCTCTGAGTTTTTCATCACGCGTGGTCAAGGTACTGCTTAAAGAACAGAGAGCAAGATGCTGGCCTTCCTGGGGCCTGTTTCAGTGAGGGGGGCAGGCAATCCAAAAGTAAACAGAAAGGAGGATGATCACAAATTGCGGTAGGTGCCCGAAGAAGACTGACCAGGGCTGATGTGGCAGAGATGTGTCCGTAAGTTCAGCTCCACAGTGGAGTTGAATTTTAAATGCTAATGACAGTGGTGATCGTCTTCTATTGGGTACATCCCATGCCAGGCACTGGTCTGAAATGTGACACAGATCTCCCCTTTGATTTCTCCAAGAAACCTGTGTGGTAGGCACAGTGATCATCTCCATTTGAAGACACAGAAAGTGAGGCCCAGAGCTGTGTAGTGATCCGCCCTGAGCAGGACTGTCCAGAACCCACAGGGGCAAGGGGATCTGAGCTCTTTGCCACTGTGCTACTCAGTGGCCAGAAGGGGTTGACCTTGTGCCCATCTACTCTTTCTGTAGAGTCAAGGTGATGGGCCTGCCAAGACCCCGGGATGGAGGTGGACTTGAGCTATTCCTGTCCTTCCTTAACATGGCCACGGTGTTTGGGTCACCTGCCCAAAGGGCTTTTGTGCTTGCCCCCCCCCCCCCCCCCCGGAACTTTGACGTCTCTCGAGGGGAAACGTCTGCTCATGATGCCATGTTAGGGAAGCTCATTTTTCTTTTTTTTTGTCTTATTTTCAGACTCTCCCAGGTGCCTCATGCTGGCCTTGTCACAAAGGTAGATTTTTAGAAATTATTGGTATATTATTCTGTGAGCTTTTGTCTTGTTAGACTTGTGTGTTGGGGAGGGGTTCATCAGGCCATTTCATAAGCTGCCCTCCCCAGGACGCTGCAAAGAGTGCTTTTCTCCCGAGGGAAAAACTGATAATGCCGTGTGACTTGGGGCAAGTTCCATTCCCCCTCTGTACCTCAGTGGCCCCATCTGTCAAAATAAGGAGGCCAACCTTGTCCTCTCCTCACCCTCCAGCAAACCTTGCCTGAGTTTCCTAAAAGCAACTTGAACTCCTCCAACAGCCAGGGTAGGGTCCCCCAGCAAGTTCTCCCAGTGCCCCACACCCCTTCCATGGCAGCATAACCAGGATCCATCTTAGTATCTCCTCACCCCCCCTCCCCCAAATGCTCAGGGCAGTGGGAGCCTGCTACTGACCCCCTCTTTTTCCTTTCTGTCTTCCCTGCCCCCATCAGTGACTCTCCTTTTGGCAAGAAGAGCTTTGAGCAGACCTTGACAGTGGAGCTTTGTGGCACGGCAGGTGAGCAGGGGGCGCAGCTGGGGGAGTGCCTTTGGGGGCGTGGCAAGACTCCTGGCCATGCATGTCCCACGTCCTCCTCCTTCCCTGGAGGAGCCCGCAGTCTTGTGAGGGACAGACTCACGCCCTGTCAAGCGCTGTTTGATGTGCGTTTATTTCATAAAAGCTTTGACAGCACAGGAGGGTCAGGACTGGGCAGAGTGCAGGGCAAGGGGCATGAGTTGCCTTCAAGGATGAATGGACACTGGAAAGACAAAGGGGAAGGGTGTGCCTGGCAAGAGACTCAGCCAGGCAGAGGGGTGGAGGTGTGGAGGAGTGGAATTCCCAGGGCACACTGGAGATGCTGGTCACCTGGTCTTTCTAAGTGGTAGAGGGCAGGTCAGGAAAAGCAGCCACAAAAGGGCTAAAATGCAGAGGTGTCTGGTCTTTACCCTGTAGGCCTTCAGAAGCTCCAGAGAGGAGGAGCTGGGCAAGTTCCTCTGGTGCATTGGGGAGAACGGAAGCCAGGGTCAGGTGCAGGAGCAGCAAGAACACGATGGTAGTCAGATCCAGGTGGGCAGTTTTGCCCATGAAGCCTGCCCTGATGCATGCTGGGAGACACCTGGAACAGGCCCTTTTGGATGATGGGAGGTGGAACAGGAAAAGCTCTCTGATGACTTGGGGGCTTTTGCTACCATTACCAACCCACAGAAGGGACAGCACACTCGTTTTGTCACATGCCAACTCCACAGAATTGAAGCAGTAGTGCAGGATCAGTTAGTGAGGCCTACCCTCTGTCTGTTGGGGTGGCACATAGCCACTTCTTTGCCATCCTAAATTCCAAATTAAGGCTTGGGATTTGTTCCTTGGAGAAGGAAGCTGCCTTCACTGCATGTGTTTCTCCCCTTGCTGGGCAGGACTCACCCCACCCACCACACCCCCATACAAGCCCACCGAGGAGGACCCCTTCAAGCCGGACATCAAGCACAGCCTGGGCCAAGACACAGCCCCCAGCACCCCCGCCCCTGAGGCTCTCCAGCTCATGGCCACCACCGGGCCTACCCACAAGCTGCCCAAGAAGCACCCAGAGCGCAGCGAGCTTCTGTCCCACCTGCGGCATGCCACGGCCCAGCCGGCCTCCCAGGCTGGCCAGAAGCGCCCCTTCTCCTGTTCCTTTGGAGACCATGATTACTGCCAGGTGCTCAGACCAGAGGGCACTATGCAGAGGAAGGTGCTGAGGTCCTGGGAGCCATCTGGGGTCCATCTTGAGGACTGGCCCCAGCAAGGTGCCTCCTCAAAGGCTGAAATGCAGGCCTCTAGGAAGGAGGAAGCCCGAAGCTGTGAGGCCAGCGCCCCGCCCAAGGACAGCGCTCAGCTGAGAGACCACGAGATCCGCGCCAGCCTCACCAAGCACTTTGGGCTGCTGGAGACAGCTCTGGAGGACGAAGACTTGGCTTCGTGCAAGAGTCCTGAATATGACACGGTCTTTGAGGACAGCAGTAGCAGCAGTGGTGAGAGCAGCTTCCTCCTGGAGGAGGAAGATGAGGAGAGGGAGGAGGAGGACGATGAAGAAGAGGACTCAGGGGTCAGCCCCCCTCGCTCTGACCACTGCCCTTACCAGAGCCCACCCAGCAAGGCCAGTCGGCAGCTCTGTTCCAGAAGCCGCTCTAGCTCTGGCTCCTCATCCTGCCGCTCCTGGTCACCAGCCACCCGGAGGAACTTCAGGTAAGGCTGGGCGACCTCGGGAGGGGCAGTGGACAGCTGAGGGTTCCCTTCCCCAGGGTGCCAGAGGAGGAAGGAGATGTGGGAAAAGTCCTCTGATACTAGGGCTGCATCTCCTGGTGTGGCTGTGTGCTGGTCAGAGGCCCTGAAGATAGCCCCCTCTTGGGTGAGTTGTGGTGTGTTCCTGGAGGCAAGCAAAGCCTGGCATGTGGCACTCAGGTGTGTTCCAGGTCTCTTGGCCATTCATTCATTCTTGGACTCAATCTCCAGTATCACAAGGAAAAAAATAATTAGTGTTCTGAAAAATACCTGGATTAAAGCAGTGATGAACTTTATTCCCATTTCTTGGGCCTCCTAAACTGTGCATTGCTTCCTGACTTCAGCATGAGCCGCCCCTCTAAAAGCCCAGTGGAGAGATTATGCGTCATGAGCTTGTTTGCTCACACCATCTTTGTGCACTGAACCAGACAAGAGAGGGAGCCAGTCCAAAAGTCAGCTGGGGAGCTAGGCAAAGAGCATGGAGGCTTGGCACATTTGGAGGAACTGGCTGCTCTCTGATTCATCCTGGGCAGGGGTATGGGCGATCAGTGCCCTTCCTGCCCCTGTGCCCAAGGTGTGCCTGAGTGGCCACTAGGTGGCCTTCCTGGTTCCAGAGCAGCAGAATCACCTGGATGGTTTAGGGCGCTGCTTTGGAAGCTCCACCAAGTACCTGAGTCTGCAGGGAGAGGAGAATTTGCATTTCTAGCCAGTTCCCAGGTAATGATGATATTGCCAAAGTGCCATCCTCTGAGATCAGAATTCAGGTCATATAGATGTACCTTTTCTTAGAAAAAGTCAGCTTTATAATTGCACATTTATACCCATGGCTCTTAATTGTTTGAATATCTCCTTAAAGTAAAGGCCTTTATCCCCATTAAATTGTGCATAAACATCAATTTTAGGGATTCGTGAACTCCTCACAAAACCAACATTGAGAAGCCCTAAATCATCTGTTACTCAAAATGAGTTCCCTAGCACTTTCTCTAATCAGCCCTTTTCCGTACTAAGGCGGGAGACATGGGTCCCGGTTGTCTTCCAGCAGACCTCTGAGGATGTCTTTCTGGGCCTGTCTTTCTGGCTGCATTCTTCTTTCCAGGGGCAGCTTTGGCCTTGAAACCCTCCATGGTCAAGGTTCAGTTCTAGCCTTGCTTTGCTGTGAAATAACTGATTTCCACACAAGACAGGATCCTTTGTGAAGGTTTGCTCAGAGTACTTCCAGAGCTCTCCTGACCTTGAAGCCATTCCCCATGACCAGAGCAGAAGCTCTCTGACCTCTTTCTGACTTGCTTGGCTCAGGTTTAGAGCTGGGCCTGCAATCCCAGGCCCAGAGCTGAGACCCTCTCTGGAACTCCCACAGGTTCTCCTTTTCTCATCTCACTTTTGGGTCATGTGGAGGTTTGGCTTTGTCTGCTCACTAGAAGGAATAAATTGGTTATCTCAGTCCCTGCTCAGCTGCTGGGCAGGGCTGGGTACCTGACAAGCCTGGCAAACTACTTGGCCTTCTCCAGCCCCACTGTCTTCACCATTATCCAGTCTCAGGCAATAAGCAGCATGTCGAGGCTAGTTTAATAGCATAAATTGAACTCCACAACACCTTCCAGACACTCTTAGCCCTTTAGGTGGGGAATGTTGACCAATTCTGTTGCAAATGAGTGGTGACCAGTTATTCTATAGCACTTTTTTTTTAATGGATACAATATCTTTGTTTATTTTGTTTTTATGTGGCGCTGAGGATCCAACCCAGTGCCTCACATGTACAAGGCAAGTGCCCCACCACTAAGCCACAACCCCAGCCCTATTCTATAGCACTTTAAAATTTGCAAATCACATACCTCTTACCCTATTTGAGCCTCACAGATGCATGTGGAGGGCCTAGCTGCTTTTTATCCTCATTTTATAGATGAGGTAGCTAAGGCTTAGAGAGGTTAAATTTAAAAAAAAACTGAGCAAGTGTTTATTGTAGTTCCTGGGTGGAGCATTTATGTGCATTTTTAAAAAAATTAATCCTCACCAATGACCAAGGAGGAGGTGGACTCAATTGATTATCTCTATTTTATAGGTAAAGAAGTAGAGCTGAGAGGGCTTAAGTGACTGGTCCAAGGCCACCCAGCAGCAGGCGATGGAGCCCGGCCCTAACACTGGCTATTTGAGCCAGTGTTCTTATCCTCTAAGTTCTGTTCTCAAGGACTCAGACTGGAGTAGGGAAGAGTGGGGAGGGCTGCAGTATGTGGATGATAAGCCCCAGAGCTCAGCCAGACACAGGGAGCTGGGAAGGGCAAGAGGGGAGCTGTTCCTGGCTGGGGCACCAATCAGTAGAGAGCATTGGTTCTGGAGCCAGAATATCTCTTCACTCAGACCTCTCCCTTTTCTAGCTTTAGGCAGATCCCATCCTGAACCTGAGGCTCTAGTGTTTCATCTGGAAAACATGCTTCATAGGATTTTTAGCCCTTTCCACCCCTAATGGCAGAGAAAGGCAAGGCACAGAAGGGTGGGGTCATAATTAGTGCCCCAGCGGTCCAGGTGTCTAGGCCTAGAGGCCAGTGCAAGACCCTGGGCTCTCATCGCCCAGGGGAAGCTGGACTTCTGATGGACCCTAGAGAAGTCCTTGCCCCGCCCCCAGAAGCTCCGCCTCCCAGCAGTCCCGCCCCCAGGAGTCCCGTGCCCCGCCCGCCCGTCCAGCTCCTTCCGGAGAGTGAGTGCCTCTGCTTTGCTTTTCACTGACAGATGTGAGAGCAGAGGGCCGTGTTCAGACGGAACCCCAAGCATCCGGCACGCCAGGAAGCGGCGGGAAAAGGCCATTGTAAGTGATCTGGGGCCCCCCCGAGCCCCGAGCCCCCAGGAGCCCTGAGCAAATGGGGCTAGCAGGCTTGAGAGCGCTGAGCTGCTCAGCCTTCAACCCCTGCCTTTGGACTAAGGGACTGTGGCCCACAGAACACAGTTTTATCTTCTCATCTGAATATCACCAGGGTCACCTAAGGCTATTAAAAGTGGCAACCAGGCAGAGTTCAGCCAATAGGCTGGACATGAGGTACACAGTTGGTGGCGATTTAGAGCTTAGCTTCAGGGGTCTTGAGGAGGCCAAGAGGAGAGGTGGAGTAGTGGGAAGCAGAACCAGGCTGACTATGTCACAAGCCAGCCCTGCCACTACCCTCTGTGTGATCTTGGACAGGTCCTAATCTTCCTTGAGCCTCAGTTTTGTCATCTGCACATGAGGACGCTGGGCTTGGTGCTTCCTAAGGTTTCCCCCAACTTAATCAGAGCGAAAAGACCAAAAGAGCCTTCCCCCCTCTCTACCCACCTCCCTGATCTTCTCCCAGAGTTTGTCCCCAGGCTGTGAAAGATCCATCAGTAGCCTGCAGTGGGGAGCTGTAGCCAGCCAGCTGTGTGGTACCACTAGAGAGGAGGGAGGGAAAGTAGGACAGAAATGCAAAAGGACAGATGACTCCCACTGGATGCTGTGCTTCAGGGAGCAGGGTACACACCAGAGATGCATGCCCCAGAGGTGCACAGCTGTGTGCAAGCAGTGCTTACAACCACAGCTGAGCATGGCATCTTCTCTAGCCCATGATTGACAAGCCTCCCCTGCTTGACAAGCCTCTGTCTTGACAAGCCTAGTGCCAGCCTATGCTTTGGGCAGTATCAACATGTAAAACAGACAAGGGCCCCCTCATCACATGGTTGGGGCAGAAGGGAAAGACAATAGACTTGTAAACGAAGGAGAAAGCAATGGAATTAAGGATTGGGATAAGCACTGTGAAATTAACATCGTGTCTAAAATGTCTGAAATTTACATTTCTGTTTGGACTATTAAGAGGTACATTTGCATGAGTGGTTGGGGAGAAGGGGGTCTCTGGGAGAAGGGGTCTCATGGAGCCAGGTCTGGGGGCGTGAAAAGGAGCAACAAGCAAAACTCAGGAGCAGAATGTTTGGGTGGGGGCAGGAAAGGGCTTTAAGCATGCCAGAAACTTCCAGAAGGCTGGGAGTAGGGGCTTTCTCTAGAGAGCTGCACGCAGACATGTCATGGTATGAGGCTTACAGTTCCTGTGACCATTGTCACGATTCTGCTGTGGAGCCCAGGCCTGCTTTTCTTTCTTGCCATCTGGACACTATGGGTGTCCAGGTGGGGTGGCTAGAGGAGTGCTGAGTATGGCCTATTCCTGGAGAAATACAGTGTGTCCAAACCACACTCTGCTCTTTTGCCTACAGGAGCACAGGTGTCCAGGCAGTGATTTCAACCAGATCAAATCACAGATCTTAAGGGGAAGAGGGAGATTGCAGCCTGGGCTTCCCCACCCCCTCCTTCTGCCAGGCTGTTCTGAGCACCTACTGGCATAGCACCAAGCTCTCCTAGAGGTGACCTCTCTGTCACAATATCTGTTCTGCGGCTTCAACCACCTTACCCTGCAGGAAAACATCAAAGACAATGGTGGCTGTCATAGCCCTAAGGCCCCCTTCCTTCCAGCCTGCTGTGACCCCTGCAAAACCACCTGGCTCTTAACTCGTCCTTAGTGTCCTGTGGTTCCACCCAGCTTCTCTCTGTCACACTCCAAACATGAGCGAGAAAGCTCCTAATGTGCAATTCAGTTGAGGGTGATAAGCCCCCTCCCTCCCAGCCAGCCTCTGCTGGCCGCCTTCATGTGTACAGTTGCTCCCTCTGGAGGCCACTTCCCTCCATTCGCCACAGCCCCTGCTCCATACAAGGGCAGGTCCTCTGGTGTTGTCCTCTCTCTGATTCTAGCTGGTGTTGCTGCTTGGCCAGGCATAGACAGGGATGAGGAGACTATGGGAGCAATGACCATGACCGAGTCCCTCTCTGTCCCCCTTCTCGAGCAGGGTGAAGGCCGCGTGGTATACGTTCGAAATCTCTCCAGTGACATGAGCTCCCGAGAGCTGAAGAAGCGTTTCGAGGTGTTTGGCGAGATTGTAGAGTGTCAGGTGCTGACAAGAAGTAAGAGGTGAGTCAAGACAGGCAGGTCAGACTCAGGTCCCCATCCAGGGCTGGGTGCATAGGAGGCACCTGAGAAGGTCTGTGTGTAACAAATGCAACAACATCCAACCTTAGCCTGCAGCATTGGTCATGCAGCCAGTAATGGCTGAGGGTTTACTACGTGCCAGGCAGTCCCCATGTGTTCCTTTGTCTAAACTTTGAACACCCATGACAGGCATGCTTATTCTTTCTGTTACTCTCCTTCTGGGGGCACTCAGACAAGTTAACTGAGCAGCACCTTCCTGGAAAAAACAAAACTGAAACCCATGTGTCCACTCCAGGGCCTTTGCCCTGGAGATAGTGCAGGACAACAGCCGTTGGCAGCTGGAAGACACACTTGCACAGGGGCCTTGCCCCGCCTGGTCCTGATGCCACTCACACCACTTCCTTCCTCTGCAGTAGAAATACTGGGCCTCCTTTCTGCAGGCAGCTCTGGTTTTTCCTCATTCACTTGGGAAACAGTGTTTCGTCTGTCAGGGAAACTGCAAAAAGAACAGGCTGCCTATGAATGTACAATTGAGATGTCAAAACTATCAGTTTTGAAATTTTTCTAAATTATCTCCCATTACACCTGCAAACTAAGTTATTAGCATTTTTAAATTGTGACTTAAAAATAATAATGAGTGCCTGGCTTGGTGGCAAGTGCCTGTCATGCCAGCAGTTTGGGAGGTTGAGGCAGGAGAATTGCAAATTGGAGACCAGTCTCAGCAACTTAATGAGACCCTGTCTCAATTCTCACCTGTATTGAATCCCTGGTACCAACAAAATAAATAAAAATAATGAAGAACATCAATAATAAAACCGTTTCTTACTGACATGATAGCACACACCTGTAATCCTAGTAACTCTGGAAGGGAGATTTCAAGTTCCAGGTTAACTTTAGTAACTTAGCAAGGTCCTGCCTCAAAATAAAAAAAATAAAGAGGGCTGGGATGTTACTCCGTGGGAAGGCACCCCTGGGTTCAATCCCCAGTATCAAAGGAAATAGTTTCTCGGTCACACGTTTCATGTCCATTAGATGGCTTGAAAAAACAGCAAATAAGTGCTAGTGAGGATGTGGAGAAGTCGGGCCCCTTAGTTACTGTGGGTGGGAATGGCACAGTAGTAGGATGGTACAGGTCAGGGGCAGGGGCAGCAAGAGTGGGAGATGCAGGGAGTGCCTGGAGCACTGACCTTAACCTTGGGAGGACTGGGTTGAATCCCTGCTCTGTGGCTTGCCCTTGAGTAGCTCCTTGAATCCAGCAAGTGATTTCCTTATGATAAGGTGCAGATGACACGCCTTACAGGGTCACCTAAAGAGCCAAACACGTGCCTCACACCTGACCTCACAAACATTCAACCAATGACCTCATCTTCTCATTATCATGTAGCAGAGATCAGCCCAGCAAACGTCATCTTCTCTGACTAGGGGGCTGGGTGATGTGGGCAGCAGATCCTTGTGGCTTTCTGTTTTTCTTGTAATGCGTGCTCTGACAATGTCCACCAGGCCAGCCTGGAAACATGGTCCCCTTGTCTTTTCCCCCCCAGAGGCGAGAAGTACGGCTTCATCACCTACCGGTGTTCTGAGCATGCAGCCCTCTCCCTGAGGAATGGCGCTGCCCTGAGCAAGCGCAATGAGCCCTCCTTCCAGCTGAGCTCTGGGGGGCTCCGGCACTTCTGCTGGCCCAGATACACTGACTATGGTAAGTACCCTGCCACATCTGGTAAGACCCAGAGCATCAGGGGCAACGACTTCCTCTAATGATACCCTGACCTAATGCCCCTTCTAGACGTGGCTCCGTGCCCAAGCCCTGTGTGCTGACTGGGTATAATTGCAGCTCTTGATCTATTACCAGGTTGTTTTTCTTCTGGTTTCTGGCCCACTGGGTCCTGTCCTGTGACTTGCACTAAGGACTGTCGAATCTCCCTTGGCCTCTGGGAACCCTGGCTCTGCTGGCCCTCTTAACTCACAGGGCCACTGCTGCCTTGGTCCAGGAAGGGGCTTTCCATGGTGACTCCTGACAAGGCAGTAGCTGTGCCCCTTAGTGGACCTTGGTATAATAATACCATCATCATGCACTTGCCTTTTGGGTACATATTGATGAAGACGAACACAGAAGTGCAGTGTAGGAAAGAATTCTTTGTAGGGGAGAGCATGAAGTGGGCTTCAGAGTACAGGGTGAGTGTCAGGAGGCTTGTAAGATTGGGTTCCCTTGTCTGCACAAGGTCAAGATCCCAGCTTTGCTGGCCCTCCCTCATGTGACTCAATAACAGGAAACTAAAGGGCAAGAAGCTGTGAGGAAGGAGGACTCTAGGATGTCATAGCTGGAAAGGAGCTCTGGAATGTCCTAGTCCAGGGGCCCCTTGTTCTACAACAGGGCCGTGGAGGCTCTGAGATGCTGATGGTGTGGCAGAGACACCATAGCAGGATGGCATCAATGATCACTGCCCAGGGCTCATCCCTGCTCTCTGATGCCTGGGGCCAAATCCGCTCCACAGAGCCATGGACAAGCATGGATTTGCTGGGCATCCCACATTTCCACGGTGCTCACGCCTTCCCCTCTCCCTGACCCCCAGATTGCAATCCAGAAGAGGCCCTTCCCGCCTCCGGGAAAAGCAAGTACGAAGCCATGGATTTCGACAGCTTACTGAAAGAGGCCCAGCAGAGCCTGCATTGATCACAGCCTTAACCTTCGAGGAATACCTCAATACCTCAGACAAGGCCCTTCTAATATGTTTACGTTTTCAAAGAAACAAGTATACGAGAAGGAGAGCGAGCGAGCGAGCGTGAGAGACTTGAAACTGCTGTCCTTTTAAAAAAAAAAAAAAAACAGATCAATGTTTACATTGCACAAAGCTGCTTCTGTCTGTGAGTTTCCATGGTGTTGATGTTCCACTGCCACATTAGAGTCCCCGCTTCTGACGGGTTGTCCTGGGTGCGCCGCGAAGTGCCGGGTCAGTCACCCTCTGCCCTTCCTGCCCGACTGACTTCCTCTTGTAGACCTGCAGCTGTGTTCACCATAACATCTCTTGTCTGTAGTGTGTGATGATGAAATTGTCACTTGTGAATAGAATCAGGATTATAAACTCATTTTTAATTGAAGAAAAAAAAAGTATATCCTTAAAATAATGTATTTATGGCTCAGATGTACTGTGCCTGGGATTATTGTATTGCTTCCTTGATTTTTAACTATGCACTGTCATGAGGTGTTTGCCATTGAGCTGCTCTGCTCCCCTGGCCAGATTGCCCTGGGTGCTGGGTAACTGATAGGCTGATCCCCAGGAATCATGGGGATCGTGGCCTGCAGCCATGACTAGGAGCCATGGAGAAAGGTTCTCCATCTTTTCTACCAAGCCTTGCCCTGTTTTGAGCAATTTGGGTCAAATTACAATGACAGCCCTTGTCTAGTGTCCAGCTCACACTTGAAGAGTGCCTGCCTGTGAGTGCTCACACCCTCGTGCCTTGAGAGGAAGGCAGGGTGAGCACGTTGTACCTGTTTCCAGGAGAGGCAGGCAGTGTGCTGTGAGGCACAATGACTTGCCAGAGGTCCTATAGCCAGAGAGAAGGCAGAGCAGTGACCCACACCAGCCTTCTGATTCTCGGTCCCAGGCTGCTGTGGTAGCTGGGTAAAGACACAAAGCTCAGGCACTGGTAGAGGTGAGTTCAGCTCAATGGGGCAACAGTCCAGAGACGCTTAAGGACTCCTTTGGGGCCAGCTCAACATTACCAGCCCTGGGTGAACTCCAGCTCCAGCACATGCTTGGGCATGCCATTGGCTCTGATCCTGAGCAGGCCTGGGGCTTACCTCAGCCTATGGACATACCATCAGGGCTTTGAGACATACCTGGTGGTGGGATAAACAGATAGGCTAGGAGCAGTTATCCTTTGGGGGCCAGATGCCAGCCCATCCTCCTGCCTTTGCCTTTCTTCATCTGTAACATTGTTTGGTGGGGTAGGGCATGGGAGCAGGAGGAGGCCCCAAGGACTGGGGATCAACAAGCATTCTCCAAGCTTGCTTCAAACTTTGTGTTCTTGAGCGACGTCAAAGCCACGTCCAGCTTAATGTTCTAAGGGTGCCTTGGAGCCATTCAGGAGGGAGACTGTGACCAGGCAGAATATGAGCTCACTGATTCTGCTTCATACAGTGACTCCTCCTGATCTCTTTCATGCATCAGGATTTATTGGGACATTTTTGCATCTGGAAGGGAAAGAAAAAGGTCCTGCCACTTTAAAAAAGTTTGAAAGTGATTCATAAAATCTAAACTAGCCAAATTAATCTGTTGCTAATGCCAGGCCTAGTCTTTGGAGATTGGTAGTTGATTAAAAAAAAAAAAAAAACCTCAGTAGGTAAACTGAGCCTACTCTCTTGTTCTGGGTTGTGAACTTACTCCCTGCCCCCAGATAAGGCTGGAGGAGATGGCTTTTGCAGACATAGGGAATTTGAACTCACGTGCATCAAGTCATTTGGCCTCTTTGAACCCCAGTTTCCTTCTCTATAAAATACATTGAGAGGGAGAATTAGGCAGTTCTAACAGTCTTAACTTCTGTTAAGGCAATGTCTAGCTCAAGATGGCAAATACCCAGCACATGTACAACTATTCCCACATCCTTGGCCAATGCAGACATAACTAATCGATCATAGCACTCTGATTCTTTGAACCTTAGATGTGCTATTAGTCCACAACACAGTGCTCTGGGCAGTCATTACAAATTGATCAGAGTTTAATCTATTCGATATCCTGGTCTAATCTTTGGAGATTTTCATCAATCATACAGAGCCATATGTTGACTAGGGTTCATGCTTGCCCATACCTGTCTGTCATGCCCTCAATCTATGAAAGAAAACTTTCCTAAAGCCATTCCTCAGCAACAGGTTCTCAATTCTACTGTGACACACAGGGAAGGTAGGGAGTGCAAGCAGACAGGAACATATTTAGAGAAGGTGAGGCTTATAAGGATCAACCAAAAAAGGGACTTTCTACAGATCATTCTAAATTCCTTCATAGCCATTCACTGCATCACACATGGAAGGCACATAATCAATGGTTATGGAATGAAACAGAATTAAAATCCTGCTGCTGCTTCCACTAAGACCTAGTTGGCATGCATCAAGGAGGAAACTTGAGATTTCACCCTGTGGATGGGAAAGACACTAGATTCACATCTGGAGAACTGGCTGAGTCCCGACACCACTAAGAATTTCCTTGGTAACTTTGCTCAGCCTCTTTCCTCTCTAGGCCACAGAGTTCGGGAAAAGTAGTCCAGATGATCTCAAAGCCCCATGTCTGCTTTTTCCTCCATTGCACTAGGCCAGAGGTTTTACTTTGGGCCAGTGGTTCCTGAGCTTAAAGAAATGCAGTTTTTGTTTGTTTGTTTGTTTGTTTGTTTTAGCAAAAGATGAGTCTCTCCCCTGCTTCAGGGTCAGCTGAAGCTGCCCCTTTACACCAGTTCAGTATAGGGCACTTGAAGTCACTTAGACAACATCCTTGAGCAGAACAGGGACCTGAGTGTGGCTGGCATTGGACCCTAAGGTGCCTAGGGTCAGGCTGGGGGCTGCTGATAGAGAGGATGCCTGCTAAGGGCGTCCAGTAGTCTCTGCTTGTCATCCCATAGAACAAAGGCAACAAGGCCTATCATTGATCAGCCTTGTAGACAACCTCTATCTGGAAGACCCATTCGGTGCTGTGTATTATTTACCAAGGAGACTCCAAGGTTTCTCCAGGATGAGGCAACCTTGGTCTTTTTCCCACCAAATTAAGGAGTAACCCAGAGGGAGCAGCTGCCATTGGCAACCATCTCATTGTAGCTCTGTCCTAGTGTTTGCTCTCAATGATGTTTACATGTAATTTGCCATAACAGCTTCCTGTAGACTGTGTCGACAGCCGCCCTGGCAGGGCAAGCTGTACTGTCCATCTCTGTGCCGTGCTGGTGTTTTCCAGAACTGTCTGATCCAACCACTAAGTGGAATTCTTCCATCTCCTTCCTCAGTCGGTACAAGGCTGAATCAGAATCCTCACTCTAGGGGGCTCTGGTTACTGAAGGAAAATGCATCAAAGAGGTAAAGGATATGAGTGGATGGCGTGCAGCTCAGGCCCCCACTCCCTCCCCCTCACGTCCTGCCCCACCCCAACCAGAAAACTGCTCTGAGCCAGATAGCACCTATCTGGTGTCTACATCTGCCCAGAGATCTGGTAGCCCGGAGTATGGAGCCTCAGGAAAGCAGCAGGGTTCCGAGAGTGAAATGTGGGAAGGAAGAATGCTCTGAGCCTCAAGGACTGAGTCCCCAAGTCCTGATGTCTTTCATGGCCTAAAGCCTTGCTGGTCAGATTTTCAAGAGTGACTTTTCCTCGACATGCAGTATACCGATTGAGGCCCCTGTGCGGGAGGTGAGTGGAGGGGAAGGGCAGGCATTGAAGCCCATCCTTCTGCATGGACAGCTCCGGCCATGATCCATCGTAGGCCTTGAGTTCAGCTGAATTGTCAGCTGAGCCTGTATCTTGAGAGTTGGGTCATCCCAAACAGGAAGGAGAATCAACCTAGAGATGTGTCCATCTGACTTACTCATGTCAAAATTTCAGTATTTTTCTTAGCATTTGAGATTTAGCAACTGTCCTCAGTTTGCGGGAATCCCATATTCCAGTGTCAGATATGACCAAGGAAAGAAATCGGATGTAGAATAGCAAAGTAAAGTGAAACTGTTTCATTGGCCAAAGAAGGACTCTCTCACCTCTTCCCAATGGGGCAGTAGGAAACCAACCAGTATCTATGTGCAATATGTTAAAGCTGGTCCCAAAGTTCCTGAGGTGTTTGCACACGGAGATGGGCTCCAGGACTGTTTGCAGAGTCTGGAGGTACAGGGTAAATGGAGGGAGAGCCTGTGAGCTGGAAAAGTCAACATGCACAGGGGTGCCCTTGACCCAGAACAGACGTGGGGTAAAGGGGAGCCCTGGGTGCCAGCTGCAGGACACCCAGGAAGTAGGCAGAAGCTGACTTTGCATTCACCAATAAAAGCACTTTGAGAAAACTCCAACACTTCAGCCTGGCTCCATGTTTCTGCACTGGCAAATATAGGTCTCCTATGACCATGTGAGGTGCTGTCCTAGGCATTGGGACAGGGTGGCAGGTGTGAGGGAGGAAAGCAGAGGGGCCTTCCAAGATGGCAGCCCCAGCAGGGAGCCAGTAGGAGGAGCCGCCCTTTGCTAGCCTTTGTTGGAAGCCCTAGAAACAGGGAATGATGGGTTTAGGTCTTGATACCTAATTTTGTAGAAAGATTAAAAATAGCCCCGTTGATTAAAATGGGTTCATGGAGCAAATCATTTATCTATAAGCCATCTGAGAATAAGAAACCCCAAGGTGTGGCCCTAGGCCCCTGCTTCTTCATCCAGCAAATGAGACTGTTGAATGATATGTGCATTCCCATCCTGGAACATGAGGAGTTCATCACTCCCTGTGAAACCAATTCCATTCTCTGGCCGAGCCCAGTTCCAGTCCAGGGTAAGGGCTCTCTGCACGGTCGCCAGCCCGCAGCAGGCCCCACATGGTTCTGGCCGAGTTGCCTTACATGAGGAGGCCAGCTCCCCAGGACAGATCTAAGCCATAGTTTCTAGTGGGGACAGTAAGGAACTTTTAGTTCTCCCCTGCGTGGTTAGGTGGTGATGTCAAATCTCACATTAACCCTGTCATTGTCCCCTTCGAATAGCTTTTAATCTGAATGTTTGTTGTGACCACTGGCTGTTTCTCTCTTCTCAGACAATTCTAGCAATACACTATTCCCCCCACCCCCAACAGCTTAACTTAGGCACTTTTCACACATTTCTTTCAAATGATTGTAAAACATATGGGGCAACAGGAGGCACGGATCACACTGCATATGTTTAGGGCAGCTTTTGTTTTTTTGTTTCTAATGGTATAGCAGCAGTGACTGAGGCTTCAGGATTGAGGGGGACAGCTTTTTGCAAATTTTTTCATAAGAATGGCTTGTTACATCCAGGAGTACAGAAATCTAACTATCCAACTTGGGGGCCTGTA